CTCGAGGTACAGAAACAATGACAGTCAAGAGAGTGTGTTCATGAGCAATGCCCCTCACAGCAGCCAATTCAACCAACCCTTTCCTGGTCAAAATGCACAGACCACCTACTTGGCACCTGCAGTAACACGTCCAGACCCCAGCCCAAGGGAGGACTGAGGAAGAAAGGTGAACTCAACAAGCAAAAGCAGCCCACCATTAGACCTGTTATTCTCCTCCATCCCCATCCTGACCTACAGCATCTTGAAGAAATGTTCCTTTTCTCTCCCATACTCAAGACTCCACAAGTGTCACCAGCCTTGCCCAAAGCCTACAGCTCCAGAAAGCACAGCACATTCTGTCTCAGAGTCAGCACTCAGATATCTGGGAAGGGAAGGAATAGAATCCAGAGACTGGGTTTCACCAAAGTCCTGCTAGCTTATAAATAAGAGCTTGCAATGTGTATAGCATGACTCATCTAAGCAGATGTCCATCAGTGTCCTCCAGGAGCTTACCCTGTGCACATCCCTCGAGACCCAGCTGCAAAGAAAGCTGGAGGAGACAAAGGCATAAAGCTCCACATGCAATAACACGGTACATAGCCAGATCCAGGTGTGTTCATAGTGACAGTGGAAGGAGCACAGGGCAGCGGGGAGGGGTAACAAATACCTGGAAGAACTGGGTAGATTTCACAAAGGAGGGGAAATAGGAGCTGTGGAGGCACTTCCATGATACAGGGAGAAGTAACTGTCCCTGCCTCTGTGACCTCACACCCTACTCACCTCCCACCATCCGGCCAGCACACTATTCTGCAACTCTTGAGTATCTGTCTCCACATACAGCAAGTAGCATCTTAAAGGCAGAAACTACAGACATTTTCCACAGCCAGTAAGCATCTGCTGACAAGAAGTATCTACTTTAGATTATTAATAACACAGTACTCGCCCTTCCTGAACACCTACATGGCCTGCTCCTGTGACATGTGCCTTGCATGCACTATCCCTTCTCCACAGAAACCCACAAAGACAGATTCCCATCATCAGTATCCATTTTACAGAAAAGGAAACAGATGCCGAGAGATTAGATAAATTGTCCCAAGTCATATAGCCAATAAGCAACAGAGTTGGACTGTAAATCATGAGCTGAATGGAAAAATCAATGTTCAATGACCAGCAAACATCCCCTTTCCTTTTCTTTCTCTTTCAGTTCTCTGCCTTGCATCCAGATACATGGACTGCCCTTTAACCTACTGTTCACTGGAACCAAAGTCATTTCTTTACCAGAGAAGAACAAGGAATGGCTCTTGTTAAATCTATGACTGCTAACCAATACTGAGTAGATATATGAGTGGAGGGGGAAGTGGCTATATAAAATTGTGTTTACAATATCAGTCAAAAGCATTTATTAAAGATGAACTAAATGTACCAATAGGGCATCTTTCAATACTAGAACATTTTCCAAAATAAATCAAGTACATAACTGAAGGAGCAAAGAGTATGTGTAGAATGCTACTCTTTGTGTAAGAGAAAAAAACATATAAATAAACAAGAAACTGGTGATAATAGTGGCCTCTAAGGAGAAAGACTTGAAATTGGTAGTTTGAGGAAAGAAAGAGTCTTATTTTACAAATGATTTCCCTACTTGTCTTTTTTTTTTTTTATCCATGTGGAATTTTTCTACTTCTTAAAAAAATAAAAACATTATTTAAAGAAATCGTTTATTGCCAGACTTTCCCCCAATACTCATACACACAACTGCAACCATGAAAATTCATGTTTGTGAACAAACCTGGATGAGTTAAATGTGTAATGAAATAAGGCTGTGAAACAATTTTTGTATTTCATGTCGAGGCTCACTAATTCCACTTAATGTTGTGACAATATTTTTGTCCAGTAAATAAAATGCACATTAAGGATACAGACACAAAGGACACATAGCAACAGGGACAATTTGCCAGGTCTTTTTCCGAGGTAAAGCCCTTCATCTGTTCCTTTGACACGTATTTAATGAGCAGCTACTATGTGACAGACAAGATGCTAGACAAGCATTTTTAAAAGAGGAACTAAATAATAGGTCATTAGCTTTCACCCTCCTACTTTTCAGGAACATATAACAGCATGTTAATCAGAATCCAGAGTTAGGACTCCAGGGGATCACACAGTTGACCACTTTTACCCAGTTAAGAAAACAGGTGTTCCAGGCACAGTGGTGCACGCTTATATCCCAGCAGGATGATTACAAGTTCAAAGCCAGCCTCAACAACCTTAGCAAGGCCCTAAGCAACTCAGTGAGACCCTGTCTCTAAATAAAATATTATTTTAAAGGGGGGCCTGGGAGTGTGACTCAGTGGTTAATCCTTGGTGCTCAATCCTTGGTGACAAAAAAGGAAAAAAGAAAAAGAAAATTGAGGTCTGTAGTGGGAAAGAGACTTACTTGAGACTGCACATGAAGCAAAGGCCTCAGAATCCCCAGCCCTGCTCTTCTTACATGCTACTTGCTGTTCTAAGCAGCTTGTTTTGAAAGATGGTAAAGTTAGGGACAAAGGCAGGGAAAGAAAAGAGCCCTAACATTGAGTGCCAAGTACAGAATGTGCTTTCAAATATCGTGTCTTATTTATTCTTCACAACAACCTCACAAGGTAGAAATAAGAAAACCAAAGTTCTGAGAAGCTAAGAAGTTAGTCCAGGGTCACACAGCAGGAGGCAGCAATAGAGAATAGGAGACTTCAAACCAGGCCTGTCTGACTACTAAGTAGGAGTTCTCTCCTTCCATACTGTAAAGGAAACCCCATTTATAAGGAAGACTGGGGATATATCACAGAGAGCCTTGGTTGCAACACTTTTCCATTAATGAAGTTTTTCCTCTTGACTTTGAATACTGTCACTCATATAATAACAAATCAAAAAGCCAATCATTGGGGCTGGGGCTGGGGCTCAGCTGTAGAGCGCTCACCTAGCATGCATAAGGCACTGGGTTTGATCCTCGGCACCACGTAAAAATAAAATAAAGGTTATTGTGTCCAGCACAACTAAAAAACAAAATTTTTTTTAAAAAGCCAATCATAATCCAACATGTGTTCTAGTTCTTGTCTGTCACCAAATTTGGGCTTTCTTTTTAACTCAGAGGGCATGGTAGTCACCCAGGGGACTGCAGTCTTGAGAGACATTAACACAGTTTCTGCCAGGGCAAAGTGGGACAACTCACACATGCTGCTTCTAGACCCTCTAGCATACCACACAAGCACTGGCCCCAGTAAGGGCCTGTCCCTGAGATGCCCTCCCTAAGATGCTACTAGGTCACTACCACACCAGTGGTACTGAGGGAGTCCCGCACCATGGTGTTTGATCCCAAAAGTCTCATAGCTTCTGCAATAAGGAAACATATAGGCCAGCAAAGAAGATTCTGCCACCTTCACTTCTGACTACACAGAATAGGGCAGAGGCCATGCAGGTCAGATTGACCAACCGCTAATGAATAGAGACACAGGCATTGAAAGGTTACACCTGGGAACAGGAAACTGGCATGCCCTTCTTTTTGATGTCTGCCTTCTTGAATAGCAAATTCAAGGCTCTTACTTCGATGCAGGAAGAATTCCTCAGGGCTTCAACATAAACCTCCTGTACCAGCTCAGAGTCCTCACTGGGACTGGGGTCTAAAGGTCAGCAAACAACAAAATGTTCCTCTGCTTTCCACTTGCCATTGCTCACTGTGTTGCAGCAGCTCCCTCAAAGGCCCACAGGAAGAAGCAGTCATGATCCAAGACACCACTAGTCTTTGGGGAACTCCCTAGCACAAACCTCATTCCAAATTTTAACAAGAAAGTGGCCTGATATGGCCTCTTGAAGTTATCCCCTCTTCTTGAGACTCATCAGTTCCCAAACCAAACTGCTCAACTATACCCAAGGATTTGACTCAACTTTACCCAAGGATTTGCTCAGTAAGCACCATTTATACTATCCTCACAAAGCTCTTAGGAGGCTGACAGGCAGGTATAAAGATGCTCATTTGTAAGGAAGGAAACAAAGCTTAAAAAGGTAAAAGACTCCCAGAAAAGTTTCCAAATTGTCATACTTGCTCTTTCCCCTCACCAGGCTGCCATTTCAAAAATCTTTTTGAGACTAGTACTGTGAAGATTTGCAGCAGCATCTGGTCCAAGGAGCCAACAATCCAGGACGCTCCCAAGCTTCACACTAACTATACACTTTAAGCACACATTTTCCAACAACCAATCATCCATTGAAAGCCAACCACCCTCCAATCTAATTCTGTCCGCTCAACAGCACTAGGGAAAAACCCCAGGGGTGAAAAACAGCGCGCCCCACTTAGGACGTGGCGTGGCACTCGGGAAGCAGCCGGCCTAGTAACCAGGGCAGCTGGGATCCAAGTCAGGCTCAGAAGAGGCACAGGCAGGCCTAAACGCCCGTTCCAGCGGCAACCCTGGATGCCTCTAGAATCCGCCGAGCTCCTGCTGGCACCCAACCCCCGGGCAGTGAACAGGACGGCCTTCCCTTCTCAGAGGACCACTCACCCTTGGCCCGTTCCTCACCTGTGGACCTGCTTCCGGACCTGCAACCACCCGGGGCCCCGCCCCCCCGCCTCTGCAGGTGTCCCTAGTCCCACCCCTTGCACCCATGATTTCCCCAGGCCCTGGCTGCCCGCCGTTTTAGCCTCACCTCGCAGACCCTTCCCGCTATCAAACACGCCGACGCTCCTGGCCCCGCCCCCCGCACCTGCGGACCCTCGCCCCACACGACTGCCTTCTCCAGCCCCGCTCTCCGCACCTGAGCCTTTGCCCCACCGCCTCCCCCACACTCCCAGTCCTTCATGCCCCCCGGGACCAAGGCACCTAAGGCCCCTGACCGGGTGCCCGCACCCAAAACCTGCCAACAAAGCCGGGTCCCCGGCCCCGCCTCCCGGGCCCAGGCTCCTCCCTCCCGGACAGCGGCCCTTGGGTACCGCCCCCCGCACCTGCAGCTCCCTTGGGCCCGGCCCTCAGGGCCCCGCCCCGCCCCGCTCCTCTCACCGCCGCCGCCGCAGTCCCGGCCGGTCACCTTGACTCGGGCCGCAGTGGTTGCCGCCGCCTCCTCATGGCCCTGGGAGCGGCCTAGCGGCAGCGGCGCTTTCGCTCGGAGGCTGGGGCCGGGCTGAGCCGGGCCGGGGCCGGGCCGGGCGCAGCTGGAGCGCGGGCCGACGCGAGAGCCAAGCCGGTGCCCAGCCGCAGTAGGAACCGTCCGCTCCTGGGCTTGAGCGGCGGGCAACACAGCCAATCGGCACGCAGCGCCAGACCAGCACCCCCCAACCAGCTCGTCGCAGGGGCGGAGACACGCAAATTGACCGGCTGGTCGCTTCAGTGCGCAGCCGCTGCAGCTGCGATCCTCTCCTGCCTGGGCCTTTGCGCGCTGGTAGACTCCGGCTCAGCCTGCAGGGATGCTCCGCTGCCCTCGTCACGGGCTCGGTGCCCCGCCACGCCCATTCTCTCCCTAGAAATAGCCGTGCATCTCATGTCCCACACATCCTTCCAGGCCTCACCAATTCCCCCCTTAAATTCCTACCTAAGATTTATCATTTTCGACAAAAACATGTTTCGTGAGTGGAGCATCACCTTAGTGCCCATTCTTTAAGACTGAGGTAGGCACCGAGCACAGAACGTCTGAGCCACAAGACACCTCGGAGATTCTCAGGTCCAGACCAATTATTTCACAATTGGACGAAGTTAGACCCAACCTGGTGAAGGGTCTTGCCCAAGACCACTCAAGGGCACACCTGGGGATGAGCCTGGATCCTGCCTCCTGCACCAGATCTTTAGTCTGTGCCAGGTACGATGAGGTAGGTGAGCACAGAGGTTGTCATTTGCTCAAAGTTACAGAAACAATAAGTTACAAAGACAGTAAAAGCCAGGTCTGTGAAGACCTGGGAGTCCAGGACCACAGCAAAATCGTTCTGTGCCCCCACAGAAAGGACGTAGAATACTCTTTCCTACTCCGAATGCTTCTTGGACGCGTAGACAAATAGAACATCATTTTCACGATTTTCAAATTAATTTTGCAGTAACAAATAGAAAGCATATAGAAAGATTTGGTTACTGTGTTTCCCAAAGCTTATAGAAGGGGGGAAAAAAAGCAAGAAAAATAGAGTCAATAGAAATTAAACCATTTCTAAGTCTTGGAAGTATCTTTGAGGGAAATTTCTGCTATTGTATTAACAGTGATCATCAAAGAATATTCTTAACTCTTTTACTCAAAGAGAACTAGAGGCTAAATAGGCAATGGTTCTGCTCAGAGCCTCTGTATTCAGAAATATTCAAGGTGGGAGTTCAGTGCAAAAGTTGGAGAGACACATTGCCAGGGATCAAACCCTGGTTCTGCCATCAGTGGGCAAGGTACTCAACCTTTCTGTGCCTCCATTTCTTTGTTGAGAAAATGAATGTAATGAAGATAGCACCCTTTTCAGACAAGTTGTTGAGAGGATGAAACGAAATGATATATGGAAGAAGGCCTGGCACCTAACAGGAACTCAGAAAACATTAGCTATTATATTTACCTGTGTGACTTTGGGGAAGCAAAGATGTTTAGCACAAAGTTTGCAATACATGCTCACTAAATGGCATCTATTATGAGCTATCAGTGTGCTGGAAGTTGCTACAGAAGCTCCTTCCCTCAGGAAGCCCTCCACCATTGCTGCCCTCACCTGTTCTCCTAGCAGCGTAGATGGTAGCCAGGGCTAAATTCCAGAATAACCTGATGGAGGATATCCTGGGCCAATGAGGGGAAAACATTCGAGAATTACCCAAAGTGTACTAGCTCAAGACAAGAGAATATGCTGGGATTGGATTTTCAGCATGTTGGATCAAGGAAGCTGGAATATAAGACTAAGTAAGTAAGAAATCTTGAGATTTGAGATTTAACACGGTAGTCAGGGCCTCAGGGATTGGGGTGGCAAAAAAGAGTGCCCAATTCTCAGTGAACTAGAAATTCTGTATCATAAATCCTTCCTCTACCTGGCAGATGGTAGAAGTAAACACCCTGAAATGGACATACAGGTGATTCTCACTAATCACAGATTCCAAATCCATATCTGTGAATTAGCCTACTTAGAAGAATTCATTTGTAACCCCAAAATAAATAATTACAACACTTCCATGTTCCATGGTCATGTATAGAAGATGAAAAATTTGAGTCAAAGTGCAGATTTCTAGCTGAGATCGAATAAAGTGACATTCTGCCTTTTTGTTTCAGCTCTTATACTATAAACAAGTACATTTTTCCAATTCAGTACTGATTTTTGCGTTGCTTTTTTTTTTTTTTTTTTGGTGATTCACTGTGTAAAGTAGTCCCCAGGCATAGTGTTGAAATGCTGTTTAGGGTTCCTAGGCACAAGCAAGCTGTGATGTGCCTTACTGAGAAAATACATGTTAGATAAAACTCCATTTGGGTGCATATTACACACAGTGCTATCAGTTAAGTTTGATGTTAGTAAATCAACAACATGTATTTAGTAAGTTATCTTATTAAAACTTAGATAAAATAAGATCATACAGTAATGTTGACTGGTTGATAAAAATGTTATGATCAGAGGCTCATAGGAACTCAACTTCTATATTTCCTCTAAGAGCAATAGTTTAGTATTTTCTCAATTAGCATTCACAAATTTTATATGACAAAATTACTGCAAATAGTGATAAACAACTGTATTTTTCACTAATAACCCTTCCAGCAAAGGGTTGCTGGGAAATGTAGTTCCCAAGCTTCTGAATCCTACAATATATGGGAAAGTAGAAAGGGGAAATAATATTAACTGTTCCAGATAATACAGTGCAACAGGTAAAATCATTTGATGACTTTGAAAGAAAATGTTAATTATGCCGTAAGCTTGGCAATGTACATATGCTTTTTGTTTCTTTGTTGGTGCTAAGGATTTAACCTGGGGCCTCACACATGCTAAGCACATGCCGTATCAGTGAATCATACCCCAGCCTCTACAATATCCATCTTTAGTCAATCAGAGATGGACATAAAGATGATCCTTGTTACAGGAGGTAACAGAGGATCCTTGTCACAGAATCTACCACCAAATGCTATGATACGATTTCACATGTGTCATAGGGACCTTATTACCTGTGAAAATGTGCAATAACTGAAGGAAACATTTTCCTAGGGCCAAAGGCATAAAGGAAAGATGCTAGGCTGTGAGAACTTATTAGTTTAAGTTTCCAGTCAAGTAGGACTCAGGCCTTTGAGAAGGGGCACTTCCTGGCTAGTGCTGGTACCTCTGAGAGGAGATGCTGAGTCTGGTTCTGGAAGCACAAGAAGAAATGGGAAACTTGCCAGGTGTGATGGTGCATGCCTGTAATCCTTGTGGGGTGAGAGGCTGAACCAGGAGAATCACAAGTTCAAAGCCAGCCTCAGCAACTTAGCAAGGCCCTAAGCAACTTTGTGAGACCCTATCTCAAAAATAAAAATAAAATTTAAAAAGACGGGGGATGTAGCTCAGTGGTTAAGCACCCCTGGGTTAAATCACTAGTCCCCCACCCTGCCTCCAAAAAAAAAAAAGGAAGAAAGAAATAGGAAACTAGGAATAACTGCTCCTCCCACCAATAGGTGGAATCTGTCTCACAGCCCTGCAGTTCAGGCTGGCCTTGTGTCTTACTTGATGAGCACAATGCAGTGGAGGTAACAGTATGGGATGTCTGAGCCCAGTCCTTAAGAAGCCCTACAGCTCTGCATTTGCCCTCATGGAATTCTTCTAATTCCTTGTGAAGAGGCCCAAACCAACCTGCGAGAGACACATGGCATCAGCTGCCAGACATGAGACCACCATGGATCATCTAGCCCTAGATTAACCACTGGATGACTGCAGCTAGGTGACTGACTCCAGGAAAGTCCAAGAAAGGACCAATCAGCTGAGACAAACCCAAATTGCTGATCCACAGAGTCAAAGAAAATGAAATAGCAGTTGTTTTAAACCAGTAAGTTTGGGGGAGTTTGGAACATAGCAATAGATAACCAATATAAGTATCTTCACATCCTGTGAGCATAATGAGAAGTACATTTACATATCTCTTCCCAAAGCCCACCTATGACCAACCATCTTCTAATTCTTTTCTTCCCAAACTCATGACATCCAGCCAAACCACTAACCACTGCCAGTGAATCTATGTGTATCTGCACTCTGGCCATCTCTTAGTCTACACAAAGTGGACAATCATATGTTTAGCCCACTGGGAAGATTTCTCTTTATATCGTCTTTCAGAGACACTCTTGAATGGAGCTATAACTTTTTAGCAGTTCAATTCTGGACCTAAATTTGGATTATAGTAGAGGAGGCAATACAACAGGAGTGTTATGGGCATTTGAGTCAATTATTCAAGCATCTGAACCTCTGGACATTCTTGAGCTCATTCTTCATATTATACCATTTCCATTTGATGATGGATTGCTACTGCCCATGCCCAACCTTATGGCTTCATGGATCAGATAATACTCAGTTTGTGATGAGCAGCTCAGTCACATGGTCATTCAATGGGTTCAGTGTTAAATATTCAGTTTCTTTTTTTTTTAATATTTCTTTAGTTGTTGTTGGACACATGCCTTTATTTTATTTATTTTTTTATGAGATGCTGAGGATCGAACCCAGCGCCTTGCATGTGCTAGGCGAGCACTCTACCGCTGAGCCACAACCCCAGACCTAAATATTCAGTTTCAACAAGGGCTCAGCAGTAAGATACGAGCTGTCTCCCCAAAGGAGAAACATCTACAGAAGGTATGGCTTTGCAAAGGTCTGTATTATGATTCTTCTACTGGGGCTCAGCAAAGTCTCCATAGAGCACAAAGTCTCCATTAGCCACATGCATTCAGAATGTCATAGAATCTGCTAGGTCAAAAGGCCCAAGTGGCAGAGTACCTTCAGACCCTCTTGATTTAGGTCCCATTCAAAACCACCATTCCACAGGTTCCCTGGTCAGTGGGTCAGGGGGCCCTCTTGAATATAATATACAATGCCTCCCAAATATATAAGGGCTCACCAAGCATTGTATTCCTTTTTAATGATAAGCTGTGTAAGTTGAAACATTTCTATTTCACATTGGAAGGAAATCCCAACATTCTCCAAG